CTTATTGACAATATCCACATGTTCACTTATTATTTTCACAAATATCATTGTTCACACTTACCATTACATAACCTACACACGACGTCGACCATCCGATACAGAAGGGATAGGGGCTTCAAGTCAAGACGATGGTAATATTAAAGAAGAAAAGTTATTTAAAGGTCTGAACATCTAACACTTACCCACGAAATGATGATAGCAGATAGCCAAAGCTCATCGAGTCTTAATAGCCGAAAGAAAAGAAAACATCCCCATTTCCTTAGTGGCTTTGTGCCCGTCCTACCTAGACGAAAGGCTACTGGGGGTAGTAGTAGTAGTATCGTGCAGGGACCAACACTTTTAGCACCTCTGTCGCCTGATTCCGGTGAACCTAGTTCTCCTGGAGTAGGAACTGCAATAATCTCATAATTCTCTTCCGGATTATGCAATACTGTATGTAATCTACCATAATCTTGTTTTTAATAATGGCTAATCAAATTCAACATGAACGGAAAAACGACGGCGAGATGTATTTCACAATAAAACTACGCACCGGGGTTACTATATAAAGACGTAATTCACTTGTCCTGTCAATAAATCACGTAAACTGTTTATGCTAACTCATACCTCCCGTGAGGTCCCTATCCCTACCAATTTGCACCGGGAGCTGGATCCACGCGGGCGTGGCTACGAATATTTCTGTGTTTATCCGAGAAGGTTAACGATCGACAAAGAAAGTTTTATTCTTGACTCACAATCTTGTTTTTAGAATAGACGAGGGATGATCTTAAATTTATACTCAATGTTTGGATGCGAGAAAATGAAATATGTTTATCTCTCACTGTAATGGTAAACGTTAAGTACTCTAATATTATACTTTAAATTCTGAAGATAACACTGAGTAGCTTAAATTCAGTGATACACGAGATCTTCTCCACCTCCTTCGACCACATAATCAACATGTTCAGGTACTCCTTCATCCTTCTGCAATGATACATAAAGCTTTTCTTCGTTAGTCGAACAAAGTCAAGTGGTGCATATACAGTATAATAGATGAAATAATTGACCACAAGTAACTTCATTGGCTTCAGTCATTATTTTGATATTTGTCAATATTAGTATCATGTTTACTAAACGATGTTTAGGTGTTTCATCATTATTATCAGTTTCTCAAAAACTATATAAGAAAATTAGGCACTGTGCTGACTTGCTTCACAAGAAAACATAAACAATCTATACCCGAACTAAAACTGCTTAATGTCCACAAAAACCTTCCATTGACTTTATACTTGCAAAGAATGTTTTTTAGTTTGCCCAGAGTTTTGTGGTTTTGCATACTTTGCTTTTTGAGGTCCTCAATAAACTCTGCAAGTTTTATCGCTGAAGAAATTCTTTCTTAATAAACTCAAGAAAGCCAATAGTCGATGAGTTCTTTTAATTTATATTTTAGTCCCATTTTCAATGGCGTGAATTGACCTTTCTTCCATTATTGATGAGAAACCGGAAGCGTGTGAAGAAAGACAAAGTCATTGCTTCGAGACTGATGTGCTTTTATTACTCTAGGTGTTAATCACGTATGACGTAATATCGCGAAAATTTTTGACCAATGAATTTGATGTGTGAGGGAAACGTGTTTTGATAATAATGAATTTGGAAACAATAGTTTGGAAGTACATTTAAAACTTTCTTATTAAAAAAAGTAAATAAATCTCATAATATCAAATGGTTTCGATTCCCAATTTTCATAACACCTTCTACCAAGATTAACCTGCCTGTCCATTAATATTTTCCCTTTGGTAAGAAAATTTTATTAGCATAATTTACGATGTATCATTCCGTCTTAATACTCAATAGTGGAAATACTCTTAGCCATTGGCAAATCATTATCAACATGGTTAAGTAAGTTATTGGAATGCTAGTTTTAACCAACAACTTCTTATATAACAGAAACTCTAATCTTCTTGGAAAGTCGAATATCAACCCAATGCTGGTATTTTTAACAAAGATATCTTATGAAAATCTAAACAAATTTAATCAACTCTATTAAAATATAGTCCCCAATTGCATGGATATTATTACTACTGATCCCCTTGAAATGATCTATATCAAGAAACATCTCTGTAACTTAAACCCTGCCCTTATTCTTTTGCATTGCATTATTAAATTCATTCTCAAAACTTTCGATGAAACGTCTGGTTACAAATAATAAGGTTTATTAATATTATTTCATATTTTTCGACTAGAAGATATAACGAAAAAGTACGTCCTGTCATCTTCTTTTAGATGCTGGATTATTGTTTGATCCATATTAATTTTTTTATAATCAGAATCTTGAAATAGATGATCAAAGTCGTGTCTATATATATGACAACCATTTGTTGGACATTTTGTAACTTGAATTCACTGGCGTTTCCCTCATTCTATATAGAACACCATTATTAATTCTGCTCGATTTAATTAAGGCTTATTATTGAATGAAGCTTTGCCACTTGATATCTCCCAATTTCCCATAATATCATTCCTAAACTACAAATGGTAAAATATTTGTTATCCATAATTACGAAAATACATCGGATCCATAGAACCATTCGACGTTTCGAATGTGTTTTTAAAATTATAGAAGAGACGAAGCCGATAATTATTATGGTATGTTTATATTTTGCAATATTGAAATATAAATGTATATCGCTTGTGTAAATCTTTATAGAGATATAGAAATAATTTCTTTGTTAATATTATAAAAATCAATTGAATCTAGAATTCCAATACTTTTAACCATTCCACCTTGAAAAATAAAGTTTTGTCTTTCGTATCAGGTTTTGACTTCTAATGATAATAACAGCAGAGATCAAATACATATATGGTTTTTTATATTTTTTTAATAATCTTATATTTCAAATATTAATATAATTATATAATATACTGTATATAGTACATCTATTTGATATTATTTTAAGATTTTCAACAATAACGAAAAAAATGTATTGTAATTAATATATAAATATATTGTTTTGTTATTATTTTAATAACTTTATTTTAGAACATTTTTTATAAACTATATGTTTTTAACTATAAAATATTATTTTCAAATATAATAATTTTTTTTTATATAATATAGAATTTTTATTTTTAAAACAATTCAATTGATTATAATTTAATATAAAATTCTATTAATATAATATAAAAATTAAATTATATATTTTTAAATATTCAAAAATTATTTATTAGAGTTTATTTAATAAAGTTGTTATAAAAATTTTTTTAAAGTTTTAAAAAAATTATTTTAAAAAATTAATTATATAAATTATATATAAATTTATATGTTTATTATAAATAAATAAAAAATTTTATAATATTAAATAAAATTATTAAAGTTATTTTATAATCTTTATTTTTAAAATTAATTATTAAAGTTATTTTATAATCTTTATTTTTAAAATTAATTATAAAAAAAATTTTTTTATAGTCAAACAAGTGCATGCTGTTTATTAAATTTTTACAGAAAACAAATAATATATAATACATTGTATTGTATAAACTATTCTACTATCTTGAACACCCATCTTTAACTAATGTTTCTAGATGTGACTTTGGAGATGAAAAAGGTTGCCCCCTTTATGATTTACTCATTTATGGAGTTCAATCTTAAAGATTATTACCTACAGTTTATCACTATATTTATTAATTATAAAAAATTTTTTAAATTTATAAAAATATAATTTTCATATAAATTTTTTTAAGTTTATTATTTTTTAATTAAATTATTTTATTATTTAATTTTTATAATTTTTTAAAAATTTTTTTTATTATATTTATAAAAATATATTTATATGTCTATAAATTAATAATACAGTAAATAGAGTTCTTAAATCTTTAAATACATGTTTTTAATTTAATACCTATAAAAAACAAAAGCATATTTACTTTATATATAAATTTTACTAAATATTCTATATATATTATATCTAATAATTCTTAATTATATTCAAATTCAGTTAGGTTATATAAAGATAAGACCTTTGATCTTTTAATAATTACAAACTAAAAACAAATTAAAATACAAAAAATTATATAAGAAAAAGCTTTTGATTTAGTTTTAATAAAAAATCTATTAACTTTAATCTAAATTAGTAATAGCAAACTTTATTATATAATCCAAAAAGATTAATTCTTAATTGATCTATTCTAAAAATAATATTTTTTTGAACTTAAATAAACTAAAAATATAAAAATTATTTGCTACATATAATAATAATCTAGACAAAAATTGTTAAAATCAAATAAATTTAATAAAAACTTCAAAATTAAAATAGAATCCAAGCAAAAATATTAATTTCATAGGTAGTGAAAATAATAATACAATATTGTGTTATTGATATATTTTGAGAATTAGTAATAATAGATTATTGGAATAACTAGAGTTAAATTTTATAATAATACTCTATATAACTTTCTTTCAACAAACAATTAAAAAATATAATTAAACTAATAAAATAAATAGACTTAAACTAGTAGTAGAATTTTCTTTTTCCTATATAAGTTTTACTTAATGCAAGCTTATTTTCTAAATATAAATTAATTAATTAAAGTAGTTAGTTTAGCTTAAGAAAAACTAATAATATTGAAAATGATATTTACTAAGTAATATTAATTTATCTCTAGGATAAAAATAGTCTAGTTTATAAAAATATTTAATATAATAATTTAATATATAATTATTAATGAAGTTTTATATTTAAAGTTTTTAATCAATTAAATATACAGTAGTATGCAAAAAAAACTGGAATCTTATATTTACTTATAATTCAATAACTAATTAATTAAATTATATAAAACTTTATAAATAAGTTTTTTAATATCTTATCAATAAGTTTGTTATAAGTCAT